TGGGCTGTGTAATTTTTCTTTTACAGAAATGGTTCTCTTAAATTTGGGGGGATTCACGTACTCCTTTCATGTTGTGGTAGAAGCTGTGATCATTTACCTCAGGAAGATGCCCAGACATACCAGATTTTTAAGTACAATATTAAGAAGTTCATGGATAATTAAAACTATTGTTGGCCTTAAGATAATTTGCCAAGAACCATAGTTGTTAACACAATTTGAAACACGTCCACATCCTTACTTATTAGGCTACTTTTAAATGAATCCTAGAGTGAGATTATTGCCTTTTGAAGACATCTGATAAGTCTTAATATTTTTATCCTAGGGAAAAGTCAAGTTTGTGTCTGAGAATTATACCACTAACTATACGAGCCCATCTTCTGGCTATGATTGCCACGTGGCTGCAAATACTAACAAGGTTTCTCACAAGACGAGTCATTTTCGTGCATTTGAACTGAGTCAGGTATAGTCACCTGGGAATAAATCATTCCCAAGATACATTTCTGAATCTAATGTGTTAAATGTTAGGACTGGGTGGAGTTGAGATAAAGCATTCCATGGTGCTACTCTGATAATCCTTATTTCTTTTCTTTCAGTATTACCTCTATGAACTTTCAGGCAGCTCTGTTATTGAGCGACCCAGGCAGATCTGCCCTTATATTATTGTAGCTTTTCAGTATAGGGAGCCTAAAAGGATGGCAGCATCAGCTCATAAAAGCATGTAAGTAATTATGCACATACTTTGTTTTACTGGATCTGTTCTGTTTGCTCTTATAAACATGCCTTTCCTTTTTCCCTAGATTTGAACTCAGTGAAAATGGTAAGAAATTATTTAATTGGTTCTTTTATTTAAGTAAATGTTTTGCTCATAAATAATCAGTTTCTTTCTTACTCTTTTCTTACAGTGCTCACCTCTTCATGGCAAGGCAGATTAATTATTCAAGGCTGTCTGCTGTGTGATATAACTCTTTGGTCCTCTTACGGTACAGCTGTTCCAACGCAACTGTAAGTATTGAGTTTGTGTCCTTTACTGTTTGATTTTTTTTTTTTTTTTAATTCTCATTTTGATGTCTTGTTTGTTGGTACTGGTGTGAAACAAAGCAGTCGTACTTGGTTTTTTATTAGAGTACTTTAGGTAGATGTATAGAGCACAGGAAACTTAAAATTCAGGTCTAAATTCTGACCTTGGCTTTGAAATAGTTTTATAATCTTTGACAAGTTGCTTTGGAAATTTTAGTGTCTTAATCCATTCATGAGAATATGACCTTGATACTAGATGTTTGACTTTCCCAAGAAATAAATTGGATTTGCCTCAGTAGCAGATGCAGCAGATTACAGGCACTTAATACTATTATTGAGTCTTTATTTTTATTAAGAGTTGCAGGAGCTGATTTTGTAATTTTCCCATGATTTTCCTAGACCACTGTTAAGTAGAGTAGCTATTACACATATTTGCATTATAATGAATTATTTGTTTTGGGGGCATTGTGAAGGGCATCTCATGAAATCTTTTTATTTAGTCTGCACTTGGTTTGCACCCAAAACTGTTGAAAGATAGACCTATTCTATTGAAATATAAGCTGAAGATAGGTGTGCTGTCAGAATTCATTTTCTTTCTGTTGCCTGACCTGTTTTAAGAGGGAGGATTGAGGGTTATTACAACCCAGAAAATAAAGTAAGAATTCTGTAAATAGGGGTGGGTACCTGGGAAGCTCAGTCGGCTGAGCATCTGATTCTTGATTTCAGCTCAGGTCATGATCTCAGGGCCATGAGATCAAGCCCTGAGTCGGACTCTGCGCTGGCATGGAGCCTGCTTAAGATTCTCTTCCTCTCCCTCTGCCCCTTCCCCCCTACTCTCCACCCCCTGCACGTGTGCGCTGTCTCTCTGAAAAACAAAACAAAACAAAACAAAACAAAACAAAAAAACGAATTCTGTAAATAAATAAATGGGAGAGTTGGGAAAGTTCATTGTCACTGTGGAGTACAACTAATGAGTGTAGAGAGAAATGGCTAGAACCATTACCTAAATGGTTAACATCACCAGCAGTGGAATAAATATCATGTGCTTCCTAATAGGATGCATAGAGAATGACACAGTGTCACTTGTGTGGTATTCCTGCCAATCTAATCAGCAGGAAACATCAGATATACCCAGATTGAGGGGCATTCTGCAAAATACATGGTCTGTATTCTTCAAAAATACCAAGGTCGTTAAAGACCAAGAGACTGTCTAGATTGAAGGTGACTAAAAAGACATAACTAAATGCAGTGTGTCATCCTGGATTGGATCGTAAAACAGAAAAAGATTTGTTTTCTTTTGTTATAAAGTCCCTTAGTGAGACAGTTGGCAAAATTTGAATAAGGTGTGTAGGTTAAATAATGGAACCATATCATTTTTAATTTCTTGATTTCATTAATTGTTCTATGGTTGCATAAGGAAATGTCCTTTCTTAAGGATACACAGAGAAGTATTTAGGGGCAAGGGGAGCATTTATAAGTCTACAAGTATTTGAAAATGAGTTTTCAAGGAGAAGTCGGGGGAAGTGGTACAGAAGTCTGGATGTGGTTCATTCAGTGGCACTGCATGGTATGCAGTCCACTATTGTCAAAAGTTGTCAACTCTGGGCGCCTGGGTGGCTCAGTTGGTTAAGCGACTGCCTTCGGCTCAGGTCATGATCCTGGAGTCCCGGGATCGAGTCCCGCATCGGGCTCCCTGCTCAGCAGGGAGTCTGCTTCTCCCTCTGACCCTCCTCCCTCTCATGCTCTCTGTCTCTCATTCTCTGTCTTAAATAAATAAATAAAATCTTTAAAAAAAAAAAAAAAAGTTGTCAACTCTTACATAGCATAATTTTTAGAAAATTCTCATTCCAGTATGCATAATTCTTTCATTCATCTAGATATTTTGTTAGTCTCAAAAATACATGCATTCAGAAAATGTTGAACATATTTGCAGACTGTGGCCTGTGGGGTCATATATTTGAAAATCTATAATATTTATAAATATGCACATTATTTGATTCGGATTTTATCAATTTCAGGACTTTTCTTGTTATGATATTTTTGTTTGCATTTATATTAGAAAATAAAAAAATACGAAGTTGTAGTTTAAATGTTTATTAAATTGCATGATATTGTTTTTTTTTTTAGGCCACGTGAACTAGATTTTAAGTATGTAATGAAAGTGTCATCTTTGAAAAAAAGACTACCAGAAGCTGCCTTTAGAAAACAGAATTACCTGGAGCAAAAAGGTCTGTTCAGATATAATGAAACACTGCATGCCCTGGGCTTTGTTCAGTTTTTTCCATCTGTCACGCGCACACTCTTACACACTCTGTTGTGGTTTTGCCCTGAGTGATTCGCGGAAGGACCTTTTGTAAAAGCTGTAGGGTTGCTGTGATTTATTTCCTTGGAGGCTAACTAGAAACTGAAAGGTAATTTCATCTAAGGTGGCAGAGACTCACTTTACTATAGAACACTGAGAGAGTTCAGCAGAGAGTTGCTTACAAATAGTCAGAAACTCATAACCATGCCTTTAAAAGAGAACAGAGGTTTTGTGGTGGTGGTTTTTATTTATTTATGTACTTCTAACTGAAGGAAAAAAAGGAGAAAACACGAGAAGGAAATTTCCTGGTCATTTAGATTAATTCATGGAACATTGATGTTTATGTTATTTATATAGTATGTATTTGTCTTGTTAAATTCTAGAGTAGAGTCCATATTAGTGAAAGCATTGTTTCAAATACTTGACACAGTAACTTCTTATTGAGGAGTTTTATAACAAAGACCATTGAATGTTAAATGTTTTTTTAAGAGTATTTCTAGTTCTTTCATCTTTTTAACATATAAAATGAAAAACTTGGTTATAAAAAAGCATAATAGCGTTTTAAAATAAGAAATGTTCTGTTTTTCTGATTTTCTCCATAGTCTCTTGCCAGGATATGTGCTTCAGGATGTATGAGGTGGAACTGTCAAACAAACAAGGGGAAAAAATAGATAAACTAACAGAGTATATTAAAAATAAGCAATTGGTAAGAATCACCTATTTAAAATATAATTATTATTTTTTCTTTGAATTAAGAAATAGATATCTCATTATTAGTTGACTGTGCCTAGAGTGAATTATTTTAGTTTGCTGAAAGGATTTTCATTACTTAATATGTGACATATTCTTTTTTTTTATTTAATTTTATTATGTTTTTTATCTGTTTTTTTATGTGACATATTAATATTTATTGTCTAATATTTTCATCCTCCTTTGTGTCTCAGTTTACATTCGTATTTCGCTGGTCAGTTTGTACTCCTAATTTTAAGAATTAGAGGACAGTATTCCCCAAATCTTTGTTGTTGTTGTTGTTGTTGTTCTATGACAAAAGAATTGATTAGATCCCTAGTGTTTCTGAGTTAATCAAAGGACCACTTGTGAGATACTTCTTTAAAAGTGACCTGTGTTGATCTATAGGTATGTAAGGGAAAAAAATCAAATGCTGGTGCTCCCACTGTTTCCATATTGGAGAAAGTAAGCCGCTAATGAGAATTATGTAACAACCCAGAGACTTCTGTCCATTTTGTCAACCAGGGTTCCTCAGTGTGAGGAATGAGTAGAGGGTGACTTTTTATGAGTGAGACCTAAACATCCCAAGGGAGATGGTGTGAGTGTGGGATAGTGATCTAAACATGTGAGCGCATTAGTGGCATGCTGGACTACCCCCATAGTAGATAGCAAGAAATCAGTAAGTGAAAACAGGACCTGTGTCTAAGCTGTGAAGATAAGGGGTCTTAGGGGCAGCCAGTTAAGATACTTGGAGTTACTTGTGATGGAAACCCAAGCTGGCTTAGATAGTAACAGGACTGAACAGGCTTTTTTTCAATTCTAGGTGATAAGGCCAGTTCAAGTACTCTTTGCTCAGGACTTTGTGTTTCACCTCACTCTGCTCTGTACACTAGTTTTGTCCTGAGGCTGCCACTCGGGGCGACATGCTTCCTTTGTGCATCTGGAGAGAGAGAGCCCCTCCTCACCTTCACTTCAGTTTCATTAGACCAGTGTATGTCATCTGCACATCCCTTGTCCAGTAACTAACAGGGAATGGGGTGCCTTGACCCACGCAGGCCATCCTGAGCCCACCTGCTGGGACTGGGTCCAGGGTCAGTCCTGCTGAGTCTGTGGCAGTGCTCCTCAGCACAGAGGAACCAGCTGGGCAGCAGTGGATGCTGAGCAGATGGCCGTTGAGTATCTCCTGGGGGAATGTAGGCTATGTTGTTTTGCAGTAGCACAGTCCATTTTCTATTGGGAAATTAAAAGGAAGAGAGTCCAAAAATGTTTTCAGAACATGCATTCATGAAGCGACTGTTTGTAAGTGCAAATGATATCAAAAGTAGCAGAGACCTGATGCACAAATCACATCAGGTCCTTCCTCCTTGGTGTCCATGCTTTTTCTTCCTTTTTTTTGTTTTTTAAGTTTTTATTTTAATTTCAGTTGGTTAACATACAGTATTATATTAGTTTCAGGTGTACAGTACTGTGAGTCAACACTTCCATACATCACCCGGCGCTCATCACAACAGGTGCACTCCTTCATCCCCATCACCTGTTTCCCCCACCCCCCACCCATCTCCCCTCTGGTACCCAGCCGTGTGTTCTCTAGCGTTAAGAGTCCATTTCTTGTTTTGTCTCTCTCTCTCTCTCTCTCCCCTTTGCTTATTTGTTTTGTTTCTTAAATTCCACATGTTGAGTGAAATCATATGGTATTTGTCCTTCTCTGACTGACTTAACTTCACTTAGCATTATACTCTCTAGCTCCCATGCTTTTTTTTCTTGCCTCATCATTGTATGAATAATTTTTACATATCCGTCTCCCCACCTAGACATTGAGTACCTTGAGGGCAGTTATCATATCTTAAGCATATTTGACACCTTAGTGCCCATGCCTGGTGTATAGAGGACAAGCAATAGATGTCCCTTGAATAAAGTATATGTGGCCTTGTACCCAGAAAACTGACCTTCAAGAACAGTACCAACCAAGGTCTCTTTTTAACAGGGTCTTAAGGACATGTATGGCTGTATTTTTCTGTGTGTAAATGGAAAAGGCTAATAGATATGTAAACATTGTATGATTTCTCCCCACAAAGGTTAAAATAGGAACTTGAGCCCTTTCAGTACATAATCTGAGAGACCAATAAGATATATATTTCTGTTTTATTTGCACATTTCATCTGTATCACAAAACTAAAAAGCAGAATGATGTAGAGGCTAACTCTCTTGTCACTTTCACTTTTTATAGTAGTAGAAAATGAAGCCAGAATTATACCTGCAGTTTACTAGATACCAAAGCTATGGGTATATATAACTACTGGTATATTTATTCAATAATTATTTCTTCAGTCCCTACTGTGTGCCCAGAAGCATAAATACAAATACAGTCCCTGCCATCATAGAATTTGTAAGACTGGAGGAAACAAAAGCAGAAACTGTCAGGTGCCCAGGGGCTATCGCAGAAGCGTGTGGAATGATTGTTCCTGTGGATGTAATCATTGGAAGTCTTTTTCATACTTTGTTATTGAATAATTTATTGATTCCCCATATTTGTAGGCTTATGACCTATCTTTTTTTTTTTTTTTTTAAGATTTTATTTATTTGACAGAGAGAGAGATAGCGAGAGCAGGAACAGAAGCAGGGGGAGTGGGAAAGGGAGAAGCAGGCTTCCCGTGGAGCAGGGAGCCCGATGTGGGACTCGATCCCAGGACCCTGGGACCATGACCTGAGCCGAAGGCAGACGCTTAACGACTGAGTCACCCAGGCACCCTCAATCTTTGAAAATAGAATGTTTTCTCACTTTATTCTAAAAAATGGTGTATTTTGTTTGTTTCTTTTTTAACTGAAAAATTACTATATGAACATTGGATTTTCTCTTTGTTATGGATATATAAGCTTTTGAAATGGTGACTAATGGAAAAGCTGTTATCTTTATGATTTACAATGGCAACTTTTGGATAACTTCCCCACTATCTGGGGAAAAATTCCCAGAGTTACTAGAAACATGAAAATTTCTGGATTTTTTTTTTTCTTGAGCTCCAGATTCCCCTGAAGACTGTGATAGAGGGAAACGAGAGGAAGAGTTTTTTTTTATCTGCATCTCTTGTGCCACAGGACCTAATTATGTCATTAACTATTATTTTCTTCTCTTAGGATGCTGTAGAAAGGATTATTTTATTGGATTGTATCTTCCAGTCTTGAGTTCCAGGATTCTGTGATATTTTTTGTGTAAACATGAGCTTAAGATGCTAATCCCAGGTCTGAGTCACCTTGAATTTGTAGTGGCTGAATGGTGACAGATTGGCTACTTAGGCAGCAGAATGAAATGTCAAGCATCTTAATGAAAAACTGAAATGTCTTTTCTAATTGATTTGTTACATAGCTGAACACTATCCTAAAACTAACCTTAATGTTCTGGTTCTTATATGTAGGCCTCACAGGGCCAAGATTATTTGAGGACTAAGGAACTTGCAGTTTCTGATACTGGGGACAAAATTCTCCTGATTCTTACAAACACTAACATTTCAAGAATTGTGTTATATTTATACTTTTCATGAGCTCACAATTCACTGCAGAGTGTGGTAGAGGGAGAAAGAGAGGGACTGAATCTTCTTTCACTTTTTTTTTTTTTTTTTATGTTTAAGGCAATCATCAAATGCTTAGAAGATCGGGGCATTTTCATCTTATTTACATCATCAGCCTTAATACCAGAAACAAGTAAGGACCACTTTTTTTAAAAACTGTTTTTCAGTATGTTTACTTTTGTTTTATAAGATCAACAACCTAACTTTTCTTATGATTTTCATTCTGTGTAGATTTTGGAGATGGGCAGACGGGTCTATGTGGGTTACATTTATTCCATCCATCCCTTCCAGCAGGTAAGGGCACAGTGACGTCCAGTTCATGGAGTCTGGGGCATATTTTTCAGTCTTCATCTTGACCTCTCAGCAGCACTTGACCCTCGTAACTGTTTTCTGCTCTGAAATCACTCTCCTTTAACCTCCCTGGGTGATCCCTCTTTGTCTCCTTCGCAGACCTAGACTTTCCTCTGAGCTTCACATGCCCATATTCAGCTGCCTGTTGACATGTTCACTTAGATGTCTCAGGTGTTTAGTCACATTTTCCTGTTTATCCATGTTTGCTCTTCTTTTCCTTTTCGTAATACTGGCTCAAGGGCAAGTGTATTCAGCTAGGACTAACTTGGTGTTTCTTAATTTTGCAGTTACTTTTTCTTTAAAAAGAGCGGCATGACTCAGTTCAGTTCAGTAGACACCAGAGGCTGTTGTCATCTATGGGTTTTTTGGGTTTTTTTAAGATTTTATGTATTTATTTGACAGAGAGCACAGGTAGGCAGAGTGGCAAGCAGAGGAAGAAGGAGAAGCAGACTCCCTGCTGAGCAGGGAGTCCGATGGGGGGCTTGATCCCAGGACCCAGGGATCATGACCTGAGCCGAAAGCAGATGCTTGACTGAGCCACCCAGGCGCCCCATCTGTGGGGTTTTTTAATCTAAGAGTTACTGATGCCTTACATTTTCTAGGACTTTATTACCCACTTCTCAGTGACCTGACCTTTTCTTTTTTTTCCCCCCTCTTATTATTTTTCTTTATGTTATTGATTTGCTGAAAAATTAGCATTTCAGTCAAAGAGTGAGCCAAGGAGAGAGAGTGGAACACAAGACTAGTCGGTTTAGTTACTTACTTTTTAAAAAATGTTTAATTTTTTTTTTAAAGATTTTTATTTGTTTATTTGAGAGAGAGAGCATGAGAGGCGAGAGGGTCAGAGGGAGAAGCAGACTCCCTGCCGAGCAGGGAGCCCAATGTGGGACTCGATCTTGGGACTCCAGGATCATGACCTGAGCCGAAGACAGTCACTTAACCAACTGAGCCACCCAGGCACCCCCCAAAAATGTTTATTTCTTTTTTTTTTTTTTTTAAGATTTTATTTATTTATTTGAGACAGAGAGAATGAGAGACAGAGAGCATGAGAGGGAGGAGGGTCAGAGGGAGAAGCAGACTCCCCGCCGAGCAGGGAGCCCGATGCGGGACTCGATCCCGGGACTCCAGGATCATGACCTGAGCCGAAGGCAGTCGCTTAACCAACTGAGCCACCCAGGCGCCCTGTTTATTTCATTTTAACACCAATAGTTACCATGAGATTTAGGGGTTACTTAAAGGTTTTACTTTCTGCAGGTCAGTTAGTTTGCATTGTAATTTCTTTAAAAGAATTTGAAGTTAAATAAGGTACAGATAAAATAAGACCGATTTTAAAAGCAGGAAATGAGCATTGAAAATACTTGAAGGCAAATCTGCGATGGTACCTGAGCTCATGCTGGGCTCCTGGTCAGATGAGGTGGAGCTGCCTTCCTCACTCTAACCCAGTGATTGCACTGGAATCACTCGTTTTTGGTTTGCGTGTGTGTGTGTGTGTGTATGAGTGAGTTCATGTAAATAGAGTTATATATACATTAAATGTACCCATAGGTCTTCTATTAATTGCCAATTAGATTCCCATGTGAAACACTACCATATTCAACCATCCCATGGTTTTGTAATCCACAGGATTTTCTTCCTGCATGTTTTTGTAGAATTAAAAAAAAAAAAAGACAAAACTTGAGGTTTAAATGTATGTGTATATGTTTTAGGGCTGAAAGAATTGAAAGGTGAAGATGACATCTCATTGAAGGTGACACCTATTTTACCTGCCCTTAATTGTGCCCTGCTAGAAGCAAAGAAGTCATTTACTGAAGAAGGAGTGTGTCCAAACATATTAGTAAAGCATAGTTTCCAAGAACTGTACAAGGTAGACAAAGGCTCTTCATTGACCGCTGCTTCCCAAGATGGAATTCAAGAGACTGCATTCTTTGGCCAACTGTCCAATGGCTTTGACTTGGTTCCTCCAGTGGAAAAGTGCCCTTCACAGTCTTTAACTCAGTTGAGGTCTTATTTTTCAGATCCTAGTGGGTATGTTTTGGAAGTGTCTACTGCGTTAGATTTATTGGCAGAGCGTCCTCAGTCCCCTTGTATCTCAGATGGAGTTTGTGACGCTGCATTTTCTTTAGTTATGACTCCAGATCCTGAATTTCTTGACTCAGAGGTAGAAGTAAGAAAAGAAACTGAAACCGAGAAGAATCCTGAAGAAATGTTTAAAGCCAGGCAGGGAGCTCTGCTTCCGTTAAGCGCAGCATCAAATCTGAGAGTTCAGCCTAAGAGAAAGGCAAGCGTACCACCTGCCGTGCAGAGTAAAAGGGTGAA